TTTTTGGGAGACAGGGTCTCACTATGTAGTTGAGACTGACCTGGAACTCACTATGTAACCCAGGCTGGTCTCGAACTCACAGCTATCCTCCTGCCTCAGCCTCCCAAGTGCTAGGATTACAGGCATAAGCCACCATGCCCGGCCAAGACTGATTTTTTTAAACTTTAGAAAATATACATGTATTTTTATCATAATATTTTTATTTCTTTATTTATTTTGGTACTGGGGATCAAACTCAGGTCCTTGCACTTGGTGAGGCAGTTGGCACAACCACTGAGCTAAATCCCCGGCCCATCTATCATAACATTTTTAAAAGAAAAACTGAGCATATTATTTTAAAAGTACAACCAAACTACTGTAACAGATGCAGAACAATAGAAGCACTAATATACCACCAAGGGGACTGTGAATTGTTATCACAAGTTTGGAGAACAAGTCTAATAGACGTAAGGTTGTGCACACAACCCTGAAAAGGGTGACTTTTCCCTTTGACCAAAGTACAAAACCTATTTCACATCTTAATCCGATATATATACTCTTGAAAACAAAACTACTACAAAACACTACTCTTACTATATGCTTTATGTAAGTATTTTTCTCTCCTATTTTAATATCCTTTTTTTTTTTAAAGACAGAGTCTTGCTTTGTTGTTCAGGCTAACCTCAAACTCACTACACAGCCCAGGCTGGACTCAAACTCTTGGCAATACTCCAGAGTGCTAGGATTACAGGCACAAACCACTACCCATGGCTCTCCATTCTGGATGCAGCCCACAGTTCGAAATATACCTCTAGAAAAACTCCTCATACACATGCAGAATATTCAATATTGTTTATAAAATCAAAGAAACAAGCTGAAAACAATCAGAATGTCCATCAACAATGAAATGATTAAATAACAGAATGTTAGACAGAATTCTATACAACAGTCTTGAGTAATTTAGGATTACGGATCAGTCTTAAAAACACAAACACTAAGCAAAGAAATTTTGATACAAAACGATGAAACCACATTGTTTATGGATGGATACATAATGAACATACTATTGTGGAGGTTTACACATACAAACGGAGTTACCACTAGCACATGATCTTAAAGGCAGTTTTATGCTATGTTAAACAGTGGCTGTAACATAGTATGCTATCTAACAAACATTTATTAAAAGAATTAATAGCTTTGAAGTGCTAGCACATGCAATTACATAGAAAATGATGTCTTAGCTAAGCATGGTGTCACTTGCCTATAATTCTAGCATCTGAGAGGCTGAGGTAGTAGGATCACAAGTTCAAGCCAGCCTGAGCTAGCTAGCTACTGACTGACTGATTGGTCTTTGACACAGGGTTTTACTATGTAATTCAGGCTGATATTATACTGAACATGTAGCCTAGGCTGGTCTCTTGCAGCAATCCTCCTGCTTCGGCCTCCTGAGTGCTGGGATTATAGGCATGCAACACCATGCTGGGCCAGCCTGGGCAATTTGATCAAATAATTTTATTTACCCTGTTGGACTCTTTTAAAATGGTGGGGATGTGGCTCAGTGCAAAGGCTCTGGGTTCAATCCCCAGTACCAGCAAAACTAAAAAAATAGGGTGTGGGGAGGAATTCATGTCTTTACTTATTTGTAGAGGTTAGAAATGTTTGACTTCTCACTACACAAGTAGAATACTACAGTGAAATGCCCTAGAACAGACGCACTCAAAACATGAGAGTGCATCAGGATCACAGAGAGTTGATTCTATTTGAAACAGAGTGAAGGTAGTCTGAGAATTTAATTTACATTTCTAACATTTCCCAAGCCATGCTAATTGTGCTGAGGCTCACACTTTGAGAACCAACTCCTTAGAACATAAAAAGGTTATTATTGCTCCTTGAGATTCGGGTAAGTAAAAATCAATATATATTATACAAAATTCTAGCAGTTACCTTCATCTATGAAGTTTGAGCGAAATTCAAAATCGCAGGCTCCACTCTAGCCCTATAAATTAGGTTCTACAGTTCCTCAAAATCTTAAGACAATATAGCGGCACAGTTTGTAATAGCTGAAACTTGGAAACAGCCCAATTGCCCATCAGTTGGAGACTGGATAAAGATGTGGCTTTTCTATAAAATGGAACACTACTCAGCCATAAAGAATGAGAAATTAGAGTCATTCATAGGAAAATGGATGCATACTGAGGCCGTACTATTAAGTGAAATAAATAAGTCACACATGTGTAAACACTGAATAGTTTCTCTGGTGTGAAAAACTAAAGTGTAAATAAGATCCAAATGGTATAATTGACAATGTGAAATAGGAAGGGCTAAAGGAGTAGGGGAAGTGGAAAGGGTAGGGAAAAGGAAAGATGGGAAAAGAAAAAATAAGAGAAAAGGAAAAAAAATGGAGACACAGCTTTTACAAATTGGGAAGGGTGGAGGGGGTGAAGGAAGGGCAGGGGTATGGAGAAAAATAAGAATCAAGATATATCATGTAAAGGTACAAGATCCCAATGATGAATGTAAATGTACTGTATAGCTAAAAAGTACCAATAAACTCAATGAGGAAAAAAAATCTTAAAATGATTTATGGGCTTGTTCAAGTTTGAGAAGCTGTGTTGAAACAACCCTTCCTGAACTGGGAGATGCAGCAAAACCATCTGTTAAAAGTTCTCAAATGCAACTCAAACTTATAAAACCTCAGAAGCTTAGTGATTTGTATTATTCTTATTCTCTGCAAATAATTCTAATATGCAGTCAAGTTTGAAAACTCCTGCTTTAAAGAAATCACATATTCCTCATACAAAGAAGTAGGGTCTTCATGGAAACTCAAGCAAGGGAAGTGAAAGGTTACCTCCAGAAGCAGGACTAGAATAAGACTTGTCATGTAGAGGTACAAGATCCCAACAATGAATGTAACTGTACTGTATCCCTAAAATGTACCAATAAACTCA